GTACGCAAGAGTGACCTTAAGGTGCGCGCACACTGGGGTCCCCAAACGGGTGGATGAGCTGCGATAGCAGCGGCTTGCGCGCTCCAATTCGGCCTCCCCCCGCGGCCCCTGAAAGTCGCTCACCAGCGGTCACAGATGGTCACTTTCACGTGCAGCCGAGGGCGGACGCCGATCCTGGGCCCAGGGCGAGCCCGGCCGGGACATGTTGCGTGCAGGTGTGCGCAGCTGGTGCCGCGCCAGGACGGGCCCGAGTGGCTGGGCGTGTCCCAGGCTCCAGTGCAGTCACGGGGGGTCGTCTGGGTGTCGGTCCTCCTCGCCCCCGCCCCAGCCTTTCTTCACCCTCTGGCCCCTTTTCCCCCCTCCCTCCCTCGCCCCCACCCCTCCCTTCCCTCCCTCTCTCCCTCCTCGCCCTCGCAGCTCTCCCTCTTCTTCCCTCCCTCCTCCCTCATCCCTCCTTTCAATTTCAACAGTGTGACTGCCCTGAAGTTGTGCGGAAGACCTCCCGCCCTGTCCGCGTGTTGCTTGCTCGCCGGAAGTCACAGAGTTGTTTAGCATATGCTTCTGTGTTTGTTTCATGTCTTAACATTTTTTGAAGCGTGGTCCTCATTTACGGATCGGCGGTTTTCTGAATCCGAGTCTTGTTTCATTATGGTTTCCCTCCTCATTTGCCCTCCTCCGCCTTTCCCTGGTCCTCTTATTCCTCCCGCCCCTTTCACTCCAATTTCTGCTGCTGCTCGTCTCGCCCCAGCGCGGGCTACTTCTCTGAATCTGAGTCTTGCTTCATCGGTGTTGCCTCCCTCATTTCCCTTCCTCCGCCTTCCCCTTGTCTTCCTTTCCTCCTGCTCATCCTCCTGCTCACCCGCCACCACCTCCTCCTCCTCCTCCTCCTAAGCACCCTTGGCCCAGACGGGGGGGTGCGCATCTGATAACGCAGCTTCATTCCCCCTCTCCACCACACATCCCTTTTTCGACGGTGCTCACAGCGCCGCAGGTTTGATGGATATCCTCATGGGACTCTCCCTTTGAACGTTGATTCGCCGAGGATCGCTGCTGGCCGCCAGGAGTCAGCGCGTGTGTCATGAATGGCATTTCTGTATCGCAGACAACCCGATTTCGGCTGCATCGTACGACAGGCTCCTTGACATCTCTGCTGTCACTACCAAGTTTGATTTTGTATGCTTGACTGGGACGGGTGCTCGGAAGTATGGGAAGGAAGAGATTGTCTGGAGACGGGCGGGGAGGGGATAGGCGATTAAAGCAGGGTGGGCACGAACAGCTGGTAGCAATCGAGCTCCAGGATGTAGTATTGTGCTTGGCCCTCGTATCCCCAAGCGGGTCATCACTCATTCGTGGGCGTCGCCACCCCACATTGCATGCAGGAAGGGGAGTGGCCGTGCGTGCGCGTCATAGTCAGTTCGACCTCGGCATTGTGTGTGCGTATTTCCCACCCCCGCCCTCGCGAGCGTCAGAGTTCCGTGCATATGTGAAAGCGTGTGATGCTATAGTCAACTGGATTTGGAGCCTCCCCATCTTTGGAATCTCCAGATGCTTTCCAGTACTGGCAATGGACCTGAATTCGGCGTTTGGGCAGCAGCTGCTGAGTGGCAGTGAGGACTGGACCCATGTGCAGGACGATCGCGTTGGCTCTTCCAACTGGCCAGGTCGTCAGCGCCATTCTGCTGATGCGATGTGGCCCGTTATTCAAATGTTTGATCTGGCCCCAGTCAATCTGCATGTGGGTGTTGGCCCCACATATGTCGGCTCGGCAGGTGGCACGTCGCTTATAGACGACATGTTTATACCTCGTTGCTCACTGCCACAGATCACATCGGCTGGACCACTCCGAGGGATCGCACGGCAGCTTCAGCTCATACGGCATCGCGAGCATAGCGACCACATGCCTGTGCATGCTAGATTGGAATATTCCCTGCAGGCCACTACAGGTAGCGAGGCGCTCGGTCTCCAGCCTAACCATCGTCTTGGGTTCGCTCCTAGGTTTTTGCGCTGAAATAAGGAGGCTCTCATGGACAGTCTTAGGCTTGGCACGTGCCGCGCTGAGTTATTGCAGGAGCTTGTGGCTACTCTGCAGGCAGAGCAGGAGCAATGGGAACAGATCAGGAGGGAGGAGCAGACACCTAATACTGAATGGGGGTATGTTTATTAATGTTCTCAGTACGGTGGGGGTGAGGTACTTTGCAAAGAATGTACAGCGCTCATCCGATTTCCCCGAGAAGGCCCAGCAGATGCTTTCACCCCTTACACAAAGGCGTAATTTGCGCATGTCATTGTCTGCAGCCTCGCCAGAAGAGTTAGGTCGCATTGCACGGCAGCTTTATCTCCTCAGTAAACATCTGAGGTCTCTTTGGCGTCATTATCTCACACAGTGGAGGTCATATGTTACTGGCGAGCTGCACGAGGCAATGCAGTTAGGTCGGCAGGCTGAGGTGGCCAGGCTACCTCGGCTGCCCACTGCTAGGGGGGCGGTGCCAAAAAAAACGGAACTACCGACGTCCACCAGCGGCCCTCCCGTCCAGCAGAGAGTTACAGGATAGGTGGCTCCTCGTAGCGTCTCAGGGAGGCATGGCTGCAACTGTAGTGGACTGGCCCGCTTACGCCGACGAATACCTATATGACAACGAACACGGACAAGAACCCCAATACATTTTGGGGCACTATATTGAGGAGGGCATCCAGTGGGCCAGCTGCACCAATTTAGGCAATACATCAAGAAGGCAGGGCGTCGACGGGCCGTTCCAGAGTGGTCTGTGCCCTTGGAATTGTGTTGGATGGTCTTCTTACTGCATCCCCGCGCGGCCAAGCGTTTCCGAGGGGTGTGTTACGAAGCTCCTGGCATCCAGCTGCAAACTGTTCGTGGATGCCTGGTTTCTTCATGCGCAAAATTCGACGGTCCCGACAGGTCCCTCTGGTCTGGCTTTTATCTCAGGCAGCAGCTTTATCCTGGAAGCGTGTAGTACATGTCCTGTGTCCCTTTGGCAAAGCGTTCATACCCACGTGCATTCGCCCCGCGGGGAAGGACGAGGAACCCCTCTCGTCTCGCGGAAGCGTTTCCCGTCGCAGGCGGGAAACGCCGCTGTTGGCACAGCAGGCGCTTGGCTGGAGGCTGCGCAAGCTTGGCTATGAATTCGTCAATGACCATAAGGACATCGCTAATGCGTTCGGGCCCACCAGTTGGGATTCTTTGGCCAGGGCCAACATGGAGGTGATGGGGGAGGGGGGGCGCGTGCATGGGGAACAGAGGTTCAAGTTTTCAGCTGTCTGTTTTCGAAGACATGATGGTTACCGTGTTGACAAACCCTGGGTGGGAGCACGGCAAGGGGGCCTGTGGGCGGTCAAAGTTTTTGCACGAGATGTAGGAGGCTGCTTTGAGGAGGCCCAGGCGGTATTTGCTGAACCACGCGAGTCAACTGCCCAACTTTGCGCGGTTGATCTGCAGCCTGAAGGGCATGAGCCCTTGGAGTTGGACTTGTCGTTTCACAGCTATGTGGATGACGCGCGAAAGCTGATCGCAGACTTGTCTGAACATGGTGCCGCCTCCCTCAGCAGGCATTCCATGCTCTATAATCAGATCCTCAGCGGGTGCTTGGCTAAGCGTAACTATATGCTCAACCCCGCTAAGAGTAAGTCGGCCGTCTCGTTCCAAGGTCGAGGGCAGCAGACTCGCAAGCAGGTCATGAAGAGCAAGGCACTCCCCATGGCAGGTACCCCGGATGATGTCGCAATGTGTTTAGGCGCACTTACGACACGACAGCACATTCAATAGTGAACTGCACGCGCGACTGGATGCAATCACGGCTGGTTGCTGGTCTATGGGTAAGTACTGGCACACGCCAAGGATCCCGCATGTTGAACGTAGAGATATGTGTCTCAGCAAGGTTGTCGGTCCTGCAGTGTCTGCTCTTGAGGTATTCCTCCCCACGCCCAAGCAGTTTCTGAAGTCGCAGAGCAAAATGATTGAGTTTGGCCGTCGAGCGTTGCGAGGAGCGGCCACTGAATGGCATCGTGATCACCACCGCTCCATCCCCTCATTGCGCGTGCTCCAGCTCTGGCGAGTCGCCCCCTTGGAGAGGGAACTCAGAGCCCGCAGGCTGAAGTGGCATCAGAAGTGGGTCCAGCAGCCTCACTAACATGCTGCTGACTGGGGTGCTCTTTCTTCCCAACCCGCGCAGAACGCGAGCGGGGCATGCAGATCATTGGTGAATCAGGTCAGCTTGCGCAGCACGCGTCTCCGCGGGCACGCAGGTTTTTAGCAGATGTCGAATCGCTCCGTCAGCTGGGGAGCTGGGGGGGGGGGGGGGGGGCACTCAGACCAAATCGACGACTGGGACTCCCGACCTCTGGCGCTTTTTGACGACCCTGATCTTTCGCACTGGTTTGGCAGGCTGGATATGAGTGAACTTCGGGCGAAATCCTGGAAAGTTAGCGCCCCCCCCCCCCCCCCCCCAGGGTTCCAGGCTCCTGGGGCCCCTGCAGAGCTCCAACAAGATCCGCGCGACGATGGCGACGATGAGTACGCATGCTGTATTCGAGAATGCGGGCGTAGATTTGCAACGCAACGGCAATGTACTTGTCATCTACAGCAAGGGCACGGGCTTCAGAGCATACTGGGCCTCCTAACTGCGGATAATCAATGCTTCGTCTGTGGTCAGGTCTTTGAGGCTCGCAACTCGGCCTACAAGCACGTTGAGACATCGTTCCGCACAGGCGTATGCGTCATGGGTCGGTCTAATACATTTCGCACGGCAGGAGACGGAGCTCATACTACGCACATGTGGACTATGGACTCCGTCTGGGCTCGAACGTGACGCACTACATCTAGAATACCGTGAACACTTCACTCTGCTCCCGATCGTCTGCGATGCCAGATGGACCAGCAGCGGCGGGGCCCCCAGCAGCGGCGGCGGCGAGCCAAGGGCAGGGACCAGCTCTGCCAACTTGGGGTCTAACTCTCGGCAGGCCTCGCGACGAGGACGGAGAACCAGCGGCCAAGAGCCCGCGCAAGTCGCAGCCCGAGAAGGTCAAAAAGGACACCCACAATACCATGGTGACCACGCAGCCCGACCCGTTCAAGGCGCTGATGCGCGCACTGACCAGGCTATGCATCGCCAACTCGCGCGACGTAGCCGACCTGATCGGCGCCTCGTTCAGCTGTTTTCTGCCCCCCCGCTGCGCACTTCACCGCGATTGCGCTGCAAGAGGCGGCCAAGCTCTACACCAGCACGTGCAAGGAGAAAGGGCAAGGCGCATGCGCTGGGCCCTCCGTGGCCGCGCATGTGGGTGGCGCTGGCCAGGGCTCTCCTCCTCAACACGAACACCCCCGAGAAGGCCAAAACAGCTCTTCAGGTCTTCTGGGACTCGAACATCGCCCACGGCGAGAGCAACCTGCAGGTGCTGCAGGATCAGGCGAGGTACTGTCGCATGAGGCCCACGTATTACAATCGAGAGAAGAAGGAGAAGCCCACCATGTTCAAACTCCAGTTCATGCTCTCGGCGGAGGTCCAGACGGCGATGGTCACTTGGAACGGGTACGCTCAGCTGTGGAGCGGTGCCTAGCCGAGGCCTTCAGGTTTCCCCCTTCTCGGAGGCTCTCGGAGTTGGCCAGAGGCATCACCCTGCAGAGCGATTTGGACAGACGCTCTTGACAGCGCACACAGATCCAGCAGATGTACATCCAGGCTCCGCTTTCTCTTATGTGTAGCATTGCGTTGCCCAGCCATGCTGCCCGTGGATCGTAAGTGTGTCGTATCGTATCGTATCCTCCTCCTCCTCCTCATCATCGTCATCATCCTTTACACGCAGCTCCTATTTCCCGAATGCGCATAACACGAAGTGGTCGTTCTGTGGGAGTCGCAGGTCGGCTATGACACGCGTCCGCGGATAATGATAATTCAGCGCCATTGGAAGGGATGGGAGGGACGGATTGGATGTCAGATGAGGCGCGAGCGCACCTAGCTTGCCTCCCCCCTTTTCTCCCTCCTCTCTGCACCTATTTCCGCCCCCCCCCTTCCCAGGGGAGCGACAAGATGCCGATACCACTGCCCCTTCGACCACTCCCTGTGCGCGTTTTGTCCATCGGTATTCGCGACGAGGGAGAGGTCAGCGACATCGGTATATCAGTATCCTCCCTCTCCTCCTTCATCGTCCCTCATCCCCCTCCTCATCCTCCTCTGGCCTGAGGCTGGGCGAGGACTACAACAGCACTGGTTTGTGTAGGAATGTAGTTCATGGTCTTGTGGCTTCCCCTCCTCGCTCCTTCTTCCTTTTCTCCTCCGGCCTCCCTCCTGCTCTTCCTTCCTCCTTCCTGTTGCCTCCCTCCTCCTTTCTCCCGTTTTCCTCCTCCCGTCTCCTTCCTCCCTCCTCCCTCTTTCCACATCCCTCCTCCCTCCTCCCTCCTTCCTCCTCCCGCCTGACTGACTGCACTGGTGGAGGGCGCGCGCGACTTCGTCTCGCGCCTGCTCACCCGGGGCCGCGCCGAGCGCCCGGGCGCTCGGGAAGCCGCGCTGCACCCCTGGCTGCAGAACCTCGACGGCCCCCACCGGGTCGCCAAGGATCGCAGGCCTAGATGTTAACACCAACGCCAAGATCGGCGGTGTGCTTCCACCGAGGGAAGAAGATCCCGATCTCGGCGATGGTGGTAATACTCTTGCTTCCAAGGTGACCGAAACATTACCACCAACACCGAAATCTAGGATCATTTTTCCCATGTGGAGGTAACCCCTGTTCTGGTGTTGGTGCCAATTTCCAGGCTTCCAAAAGGAGAGGCCAGCGGCGTGGGGCGGGGGGGCAGTCTGGGATTGTTTTGACTGCCCCGAGGCCCACTATCACTTGGGGCACGCACCCAGGAAAACGCGCAGCCACCCCGCCTGCGCGGCACCGAGGCCCGGTAGACGACACGGCCCTGCGGTATCCCCGTCGGTGAGTGCGTGTCCTCCAGACCGGGGGGGAGGTACTGGTGTTCGTCAGCTTCGTCCTCCAGCATAGCCCTCGAGGCCTCGTCGGGCCGGAAGATGGGGAGGCGAGGAGGATGAGGAGGAGGAGGAGGTGGAGGAGGAGGAGGAAGTGAAGACGATTGTGGAGGAGGAGCGATGGACCCTGAGACGTTGGCATCGCGATTTTTCCGCACGCAGCGACTTCTTCATGTCGCAGGCGCTGGGGCCTTCGCGGGTCGGTCTGGCTTGAACGATTCCTCAAGCTTCGCGTATCCCCATCCGCCCTGGCAGTTCCCCTTCAGTCTCAGTCCCTTCAGCCACCCACCTGCCGTTGGGCCGTCGCGTGAGGCCTCGGCCGGCGCGTCGCTGTTGCCTCGCGCGTTTCCTCTGCTTTGATTTTCTCGCGTTTCCTCTGCCTAATTAGTCTCTGCATAGCCCGCTTTGACCTGACTCGCCGCCGGCGCGCTCGCCCGCGGCCGCTGACTAAAAAGTATCCCCACCAGCCCATCCAGAAACGTGGACGGTGATAATTGTTGGGCACCGAGAGGAACAGATCCAGAAGCGACGCCCTGGCGAGTTGCCTTATCCAGGGAGGTGTAGAAGCGTGCAGCGACCCAGAGAGATACGAGGAGGAGTAGGAGGAGGAGGAGGAGGAGGAGGAGGACGAAGACGATTTCGAGGAGGAGAGGGAGCAAAAGGACAAACACGGGAACCAGGAGGAGGAGGAGGAGGAGGAGGACCAGGAGGAGGAGGAGGAAGAAGACGACGAGGACGAGGACAAGCAGGCTGGCAACCATCTTGGGGTCGTCTGGAACCCTTTTTGGCGTCCTCTCGGGTTGTCTCGGGGTTCGTTTGGGGCTTTCCTTGGGGAGCCTTGGGGACCCTTGGGTCTCTTTTGGGGGGTCTTGAGGCCTCCTTGAGAGCCCTGGAGAGCCTCTTGGGGCCATCCTGGATGCCATCGATTCGCGCGGGGGATGTGTTAAGTTCCTCCCCCCCTCTGGGAGCATGCACATCGCCTCTTGGGGCCCTCTTGGGGTCGACTTCGGGCCTCCGACACTGGCTAGGTCCTGGCCTTTTGGGGCGTGTTTGAAGCCAACTTGAGCCATCCCCGGCCATATGTATCCATCGTGGATGCCATCTTGGAATATCGGAGGCTCTCTGGGAACCATCTTGGGCCAACTGAGGCCCTCTGACACACCGCGGACCCCCGATACAACAACAATCGGGGAGGGGGAAAGTACCCCTCCCCGAATGGGAAGAGTGGTTTTGAAAGAAGAAAGGTAAGTACTGTTAGGCCCCCTGCGCCCACATGGCTGGTTGGATCCAGCATGAATAGTTCATGCCTCCCAGTCCTTATCAGCAGAACATATATGTGACCGACAACCTCGCTGACCAAACACTGGCCTGAGCTTGCGACCAAAAGCATGCTGGTGTGACCGACATTGCTTTCGACATTCAAAATCGCTTCCTGCTCAAACTGAGCATCTCGATCACAATCTGGCGCGTTCTGAAACAAATAGCACCCGCTTGGGTCCCGCTGTAGGAATCTTCTGGACAATTTCGATCACTACACCCCCCTGGAAGAGACGAGGCTACGTGAAATATTGGGTCTAGGACTCCAGTCATGATTTTATTCGTGGTGTGGCATTTTCTCCGCAACGGTCTTCAAGGGAGGAGGAGGAGGAAGAGGAAGAGAAGGAAGAGGAGTAGAAGGAACCGCTACCTTTCCGTCGCAGCCATGACTGGATTCGCTTTGAAATCGTGGTCATATCGCAACCCCAGAGAGGTCTGGGGAGCAGAGGTGTCGGTATGGAGGAGGGGAGGAGGGGGGGAGGTGGAGGGGAGGAGGTGGAAGGGAGGAGGTGGAGGGGAGGAGGTGGAGGGGAGGAGGTGGAGGGGAGGAGGTGGAGGGAGGAGGGGAGGAGGAGCGTTCCCCGAGAGGGGGGAGGGAGGAGGGGAGGAGGGGAGGAAAAGGGGAGGAGCGTTCCCCGAGAGGGATGAGGGAGGAGGTGGAGGGAGGAGGACGAGGACGAGGTAGGGGACCGCCGGGGACCAGGCGATGCCGAGGGGGGGCACAATGGCACCAGGGAGGTCGCCAGCTCCCTCAGAGGACCGAGGCTCGAGGATCACGGGTCAAGGAGATTTGTTGGACAATCTCAAGCGTCAAGGGACCTTCGAAGGATCCTGAGGGGGTGGTCCTCTTCGAGGAGGCCGCCATCGCAGGGCCCATTTCAATCCGATCGGGCCGATGCGGTAGCGATTCCGGCCGGCCCGATCTGATCCGATGTCGATCCTCCGGCGATCTTGCCCGCCTCCTCGACGCTCACACGTCGCGGTTGTGCATCCTGGCGCGACTGGTCCGGTTCGATCTCGACTCCGCGTCGATGCGGCCCGACCCACCGCACACTCCGCCCGGATCCGATCTCCCGATGCGATTCTGATGGGTCTTGCCGAGGAGATCGACGTCTCCGTGCTGGAGAGCCTGCGATCTTTTGCCTCCATGAACGTCATCAAGCGGACGGCATGCGGCCTCATCGCGGCGTCCATGTCCACCTGCGAGACGGACAGCTTGGAGGCCCAGTTCAAGAGGCTCGACGCCCAGAACAGAGGTACCATCTCGATGACAGAACTGGTCGTGGCTCTGAAGGAACACCTCGGTATGAGCGACGATGACGCCAGGGAGCTATTCAGCAGGCTCGACCTCACCCGCGACGGCCACATCAACTACAGCATGTTCTTGGCCGCCGCGGCGCAACGAAGGTTCCTGGGACAGGAGAAGCTCTTCCGCGTCGCATTCGACCGCTTCGATGTCGACCATTCTGGGGTCATCTCCCCGGAAAATTTGAAGGAGGTGTTGGGCCATTCGTACATGGGCCTGAAGCCAGAGGACATCATCCACCAGATCAAGCAGGAGGGGGACGGTGTAATCCGCTACGAGGACTTCTTGAAAGCGATGATGGACCTTGGCTGCGAAGACAGCTGGCTGCCTGGCAGCGCCGAGGGCGTGAAGAACATCTCCCGCGCGTTCAGTCTCATTTCACCGAAAGCAGGGCGGTCGTCGCCACCGAGCTTTTTTCCCAAGAGAGGAGCCAGGTGCCTGAACAGGGGCTGGCGCACCCCCGACGCCGAGGACGCTGTGCAAGAACAGGTCGACGAAGGCGACGATCCCATCAACTCCGTGCCGGTTGGCTGGTTCCGCGTGAAAAGCTCGTCGGAGGCCGAGTCGACCCAGGCCCGCGAGTCATCCGACAGCACATGCTCTGAGGAGCAGCTCTCCTATGCTGCTTTCCGGCAGCTGCGCGCCGAACGCATGCACAACAGCGACAAGGAGTGAGTGCTGCTATCGGCTGCGGGGGCGCGCCTGCATGCCATGCGGCCCCAGGGGCACGATAATGAAGATGATGAGCAGGAAGAGGTTAGAAGAGGAGGAGTGCGCAACCACACCATATTTTCGCTCTAACTGGGATGCTCTGATCGGTTTAGGCAGCGCACGATGGCTCATTTGCGGGGGCAATCCGCAGCGGGGTGGAGCCCCGTTGAGCAAGACTATCCTGTCCAAGAGGCGCACGTCATTCCGCCCACCTGTCACAAAAGCGGATGCCACTGGGCGGTTTCATTTGAGAA